CCGCCCGCGCCAGCTGCCGAGGGACCAGCAGCCGGAGACGTTGAACAGGCATCTGCTGTCTAAGCACCGCTGCTCCTTATTCCCCCGTTTGCTTCCGTCAGGCCTGCCCCATCCCGGCTGCCTACGCGCCCAGGGAGCCAGCGATGAGCAGCTGTGACGCGACGTGGCTCTGATGTCGGCAGGGTTTCCAAGGGCAGCCTAGTCTACATGGAGGCCAGGCAGCTGGGACCCAGCCAGCCCCTGTCCGCAGCCCCGGTTGGGAACAGGGTCATCACAGGTGGCGGGTGATGCAGGCAAGGGGAGGTTTTGCCTTCCCAAAACAAGCCAGGCTCTCTGGCCCCCTGGGCGGGCTGGGGCAGCCTCCAGGTAGCCAGGAAGGATGGGGCTGCAGGGCTGGGGTAGGGCAGGGCGGGAGGTGGCTTGCCTTCCTGCCCAGGAGGTTCATCCTCGCACAGACACACAGAGACAGCGAACACCACGGCACTGGCAGCCCCACGCTGTCTCGCAGGCCTTGGCGCCCAGCCGACACTCCCAAGCAAAGAACAAACCCACAGGCCTCGGATGGTTTGCCGTCCCATCTTTATTGGCCGCGTTCTCCCGCGCCGTCCAGTGTGCGCGCCCACGGCAAAGCTCTCCCGGCGCAGAGTGGCTCAGTGCAGGCAGGCGCCGATCCCCACGGACCCCGGCAAAGCACGCGGGGCCCTGTTTTCCCAGCCTCCCCCTGCACTCGTGGCCGTGGATCATCGGTAAAGCGGTGGAGCACTACCCACCCACCATTCCCCTCGCTCGGCCTTCCCGGCCGCACGGGACCCCCAGGGGCTGGATTTGCAGTTTGCCTCCTGCCCGTGGCCCTGCGGCGTGGGCGGGTCAAGGACGGAGCTGGAAAATCCGCGTCCACCCTGCGCATGGGGGGCTGGATCCGAAAGCAGAGCCCGTGCGGGGAGTGGCCGAAGCATCGTGGGCCGGGAGGCGGGCAGCATCCTCAGGCAGAGCACGGCCCAGCAGAAGAGACCAGGGAAGCAAACAGCTTGCCCCCTGTTGAGCCTGAATTTAGGGGGGAGGTTACGGACTTGTTCTTGCTTCCACTAGGATCAAGGACAAAACTCCCCTTGGCTGCCATGGAGGGTGCTGGATCAGACCCTGTGTGGGTCACCCCAGGCCTTACCTTAAACACTACAGGTGTGGGAGGGGGGGCACTGAGGGCTCCAGAGGCACCCCACCCCAGACCAGGCAGTAAACAGGGCATCCCTCGCTCCGCTGCAGCCCCCATGCGCCAGGCCCTGGTGCCTGTGAAATCCAGCTCCCAGAAGGAAAAGAAGTAGGGTCTGGGCAAACAGCAGCTCCTCTCTCGCTGGGGCTCGCTATGGGGCGGAGGGGGGCGGCTCACAGGTCCTACGCACTGGTCTGTTCCACCCGCTTTACTGGGCTTCCTACTTCCGAGGAGATTCCGCCCCGGCCAGGTCCCGGGGGCGAGGCCGAGGGAAGGGGATGCCAACACCAAAGAGCCGCTTCTCCGTTTCAACGCCCGCGGAGCCGACGCGGCCCACCAAGCGTGGAAGAGGAGGCGGCGGGGGAGGCGCCTGGCCCCTGGAGCCGTCCTGGATCAGCAGAAAAATGCAGATTTCTCCCCGCGGGGCACAGCCGCCGGGCTGGGCAGAGCAGCTTTGGGCAGATACGTGCAGAGGCCAGCGGGGTCAAAGCCGCCTCCCTGCTGCGGGGGGAATCGCTCCCCGACCCTTCCTCTCCAGCCACCAGCTTTGCTCTGATCTTTCCATGGCCGGCGGCCGCAGGGACTGGCCAACAGGCTTCTGTTTACAAAGGGTCCCTGTGAAATGGGCATTGATAACCCCCCACGGGTGGATCCGGGCAGGCAGCAAGGGGGAAGGCCTGGGAGGGCAGATGGGCTGAGGATACGGTTCTCCCGGCCATTTAGCCTCGCCCTGCCTTTGAGAGACGCCTTGGAGGGACCCCTCCAGCCAGGCGCTCACATCGGTGCCTGTCATTGGGGTAGCAGCAGCGGTGAAAGTAACTTAAAAGTTTTTTTACAGGCGCTGTCCTATTGCAACCCGGGTCCCTGCCCGCTCTGTAAATAGCTCCCCGCTGGCTTTCGCGGCAGCTCAGCCAGTTTTTGCTGGAGCTGCATGCCAGAGCGCACCCATTTACTTTCACCTCTGTTTACTGTTCTCTGTAAACAGAACTCTGTCGACAGAAGGCGTTATGCCTCGTAAAATGAGGTTTACCAGCGTCGACAAAACTGCTGAGTTCTGTCGACGTTATGTCGACAGAACTAAGCGGTAGTGTGGACGCAGGTATAGTTTTGTCGACAAAAGTCCACTTTTGTCGACAAAACCCCGTAGTCTAGACACACTCTGAGTGTAAGTGATTTGCTGATAGTTGTTCCACACTGGACTGATGTTAAAGCGAAGGAGGGACGAGAAGTCTTCAGACTATTTGTTCCGTGGTCCCACTTAAAGATACGGCAGGGATGAATCTGAAGTGATGATTGGTAGTTCCACTGACATGGTTTGTTTGCATGCAAAGGTATAAAAAGGATATGCTTCAACCAGTTGTGGGCAAAAGCAAATTTGCATGGGTTGATTGTCCACCAATCAGAATTGTAAGGGTCTTGGAAACAACGGCCACTCCGCTCCCCTTCCCCGCCCCTGGCCAGCTCCCCTCCCTGCCCCGCCCTAAAGCGAAACCACACACTCTGTGCCGGGGTACTCGGGCAGGTTGAGCTCAAATTTCTTCTGCACGTCGTAGGGCAGGAAGCGGGCGGCGAGGAAGTGGTGCCTGCCCAGGAAGCGGGTGGCGCACTGCTTGGGGGCAGCCAAGGAGACCAGCATGTCGGGGCTGATGCCCTCGCTGTTTCCCGCCTCCACGTCCCACCCTGTTGCGGCAAAGGAGAGAACGGAAAGATCAGAGGCGAGCGGGCGCGGAGCCGCCGGGGACAGACAAGCGAGGGATCCCTGCTCCGGGGGCTGAGCTGTTCATAATCTCACCTGCCCCGCACCCTCCTGGTTCCCTCTTTTTTCCCCCCCTTCCCGAGGTGGAATAAATTTTGTTCTGTGCACTGCAGCCTGTGCAGATGTGCACCACCCATTGAAACGCAGGCTGCCAGCGAATCAGCCAGGCAGCATTTGACTCTCTCCCTGGCACCCACCCAAGCACTCAGCTTACGGGGAACACTGTGTCGCTCAGAAGCACCCAGGGCAGCATTCCCTGTACGCTCCGGAGAGATGCAAACGCTGCCCCGGGGATGAGCAGCGCCCACCGCTCGCTTTCTGTGGTGCACATGCCTCGGGGCACATCAAGTCCAGGCCCTGCAGAGTGTGAGCGGAGACACGGAGCTGCCCACCTGAGGGCACGTCCAGGCTGATGATGGGGATCCGGATCTGCTTCAGGGTGGCTAAGATGCTGGTGTACGGCTCCTGCACCTCGCCCGGCTCCGCATCAGCTCCCAGGATGGCGTCGATCACCAGGTTGTAGGCGTCGTTGATCAGCTGGACCTGGAGGGGGCGGGACAGAGTCAGAGACCCCCCCACTCTGCCCCGCACGGGTCCCCCGGCGCCCGGTACGGGTCCCCAAGCCCACCAGCCCTCGATGAACTCACACAGCCGCAGGGCAAGGGGACTGAGTTCGCATG